CGTGCGTGCGTGCGTGCGTGCGTGCGTGCGTGCGTGCGTGTGTGTGTGTGTGTGTGTGTGTGTGTGTGTGTGTGTGTTCACGCGTGTGTGTGTGTGCGCGCATGCATGCATATATGAATGTATATATGTATATACATGGCAGTAATATATCGTATATGTTCAGCCAAATTTAACCGATATCGGTGAAACGCCGTGTCAGACCGTTGTTTATTTTTGTCCGTTTTTATGCGTCTCTGCTGCAGTACTGGATTAGGAGTTTATTGCCGTAACTGCGCCAGACCATGTCGCCAGTGTCTCTAATGGCTACTAATATGTCAAGATTTTTTTTCGCAGATACACATACACACGCGGTCTGCGTACATCATCATTATCATCATCATCATCATCATCATCATCATCATCATCATCATCATCATCATCATCATCATAGTCATCATCATCGTCGTCATCATCATCATCATCATCATCATCATCAGCAGCAGCAGCAGCATCACCATCCCTAACGTCATCATCATCGTCCTCATCATCATCCTCGTCATCATCACCACCATCATTATCATCATCATCATCATCATTATCATCATCATCATCATCATCACCACCACCATCATCATCATCATCATCATCATTATCATCATCATCATCATCATCACCACCACCATCATCAGCAGCAGCATCAGCAGCAGCAACAGAAGCAGCACCAGCAGCAGCGGCGGCACCAGCACCCGCACTATATTTAATCTATATGCACGTAAAGAACGCTTTCTCCCGTCAGTCCGTTTTATATGTGTATACCGATGGGACGTCAACGGAAATTTGTAATTATGACGTAACTGGTCTGAAATAAAATACGTCGTGAAAATGCAATCGACTAAAAGAGAGCGGGGACCCGGCGTACATATACGCATGAACGTTACATTCGCTACATATCGCTTTATGGAGCCCATATACTACACACATTACAATGCGCACGAGTATCGGTTTTTCTGAGGCGTATTTCTACGTGAACGGAAGGTGTTTCTGTTCTGCGCATGAATATACAGCTGATCAGCCGTATAAGAACTATCGGCGATTGTAGCGCTATCGTTATATTTGTCTAAATTAGAAAAAAACGGAGGTTTTTGCCGGATGTACAGTATATGCGGAGGTTATATTAATTACGTTTCACTATAGACGTACTCTTTTGTCAGAGCGGTGCATATTAATACGTCGATGAAGCAGGGCTACCTATACCTATTTGGAGGAAAGATGTAAGTGACTGTAAGTGCCAGGGGCCCGAGCTTTGAGCAAATACGATACAGTGTTCAATGCCATATAGTGAGTACATATACGCTTAGCCTGTTGCACTTTGGTCTGTTATAACTCAATAAATCCACGAGAACCGCGCGGTCGCCCGTGGAAATAAATTTATTAATGAAATGTCATTAGGGGAATTATTACGTCATTAATAGTTGGCGCGCGAGCTGCGCGGGGATTAGCATTGCTGCCAGCGCTAAATAAACGCCACCGTAGATTAATTAGGATTTTATGCTATCGCTAGAATCTCGGCGTCGACGCTTACGTCAAGACATGGGCGGCCATTTAACTCTCTGCGCGTCCGCTATTCGTACGGCAGGTGGGGGTATTACGTACTCACGTTGTGCTTACGTGTGTTAAAAGTCTATGATTTATGAAAAGGCATGCGAGCGTTTAGGCTTACGGGTCGTCGCCGTTCGACAAGCATGCCACCTTATCTCTTAGTAGACGCATGTACATCGAAATGAAGTCATTAGTGAATCAGCAGCGTGTGCGCGATCGACGTTTATTGCTCGTCGGCGCTCGCATATTTGTCGAATTCAACTAGTATCGAAGAGGCTATAGTCTGGTACACTAGCCCTTCACTCCGCCACAGGGAAGAGCGAAGGGCGTCTGTGGCGGAGCGAAGGGCTATAGTTCTAGAGCTATAGTCTGGGAAGCTCCAATAATTCCCTATTTGAAGTGCTGTTGTAGACTGAGCGCTGGTTGTGAGTTGTTGAGAATCAGTGAAGAGATGATGGCAGCCGGGAAGTTTTCGAATACTTTTCTAGTGGTATTCACGTATAAATGGCGAGAAGGAGCTACGCGAGCAGCGCGCAAATCGCCAAAAATACACGTTCAAACATTGGGAAATCCAATAGGCCAGTTCTATGGTCCGTGGTGATTTATTGTACTGATATTGCCGGGATCAATTCGTGAACCTAATCGCCGATAATGCTTGCAAATTGTTGTCCGTTTGTCCACAGATCGAACAGAATAAACCCGAGGTTATGCATAAACGATGTGATCGCGGCGATTCCATTTAGTTTCGGTTCCGAATGTGTATGTATAAGCAGCGATAAGCTCCGAACGTCTTGCTTTAATGACATTGTAAATCTCTGCTCGCGCATCCAATCGAGAACTCCAGGAATGCAGTCGCTGCAATCTCCCCGGCCGAGAACTCCCGCAATATTCGCTATAAACGCTGAGCGCTCGACCCGATCGACACACACAAACTGACAGAGAAAACAAACTAATGAAAGATTCCCGTCGGTTATTTTTGGGAGGCGAGCGCGCGTATATATATATTATGTCGGCGACAGGGCGATGTTGTCGAGCGACGAGCCCGCGTGACGCCAGACGTCGGTTTATGCGTTTTAGTGAGCTGTCAGATTGGCGACTGCGGTATTTTTCGCAGACGCCAGCGAGTGCGTTCTCTCTGTGTAACATAGACGTCGGTGCCTGTCGCTTGTAAATGCGAGTTTATGCTGTCGTTAGGGCGAGTGGGCTGGAGGAAGGGGGGGAGATCGGTCTGTGCATTACATTAGGAGCGCATAAACCGATTACGTTAAAAAGTCCTGTAATCCACTCGGAGTTCGGGAGGAAAGATGTAGTCTTTAGGATTTTAGCTTAAATTACATTTGAATATGAGAGAAAATTGCTTGATATTCCAATGATTATATATCTTCGGCGCAGGATTGTCACGATGAATATGATTTGTGACTTTGTAAATACTAGTCTTACAACATCATACTTGTTTTTTTAAGAACTGGACCATTTGGGTAGGTATGTGGTATGTGGTATGAAAATATAAATATTTTAGGGCTGAGGAATGTAAGGCGTTCTCTCCAGCCTGCGTATAATTCTCTTTCTCTCTGTTTCCTTCACGCGTTCTCTTTCTGCCTCTCTCTCTCTCTCTCTTTCTCTCTCTCTCTCTCTTCCTCAAACTCGCTCTCCCTTTCTGTGTTTCCTTCGTGCGTTCTCTTTCTTTCTCTCGCGCGCTCTCTCACTTCATTGCACTCGCTCTCTTTCTCTCTGTTTCCTTCACGCGTTTTCTTTCTGCCTCTCTCTCTCTCTCTCTCTCTCTCTTTCTTTCTTTCTCTCTCTCTCTTTCTCTCTTCCTCAAACTCGCTCTCCCTTTCTGTGTTTCCTTCGCGCGTTTTCTTTCTCTCTCGCGCGCCCTCTTTCTTCCTCACACTCCCTCTCTCTAGATGTCTCTGCTTGCGTTTAAGCGTAGAAGGCAACTGTGAGCATCTAACTCTTCCGGGGGAGGGGAGGAGGTACTTCAGCGTACAGCTCTTCGGGTGTTCTTTATGAGCCCTTCTATAGGAGGTCGACCACAAGGAGGAGACGCCCGTGTGCTCGCATCGCAGCACATCGCAGCATCCCGCACGGCCTAGCTAGGCTTCACGCGAATTGAGCTGTCACGAGACGCCTGCCCTCATCTAAATCAACTAACAGGAGGTCCTGCCATGTCGGTCTGCATGTAGTCGCTCTTTGCTGGCATTCGCTGCCGTGACGCACGAGGGGCGTGCAGAGAGACAAGGAGAGGGGGAAGAGGGAGAGTATACGCACCCGCACACACCGCACATACTCGTACTACAGTATATTACAATGCTATCAAGAGAGGATAATACTTACATCATTATAGTTACGTGATCGGGAGTAAATATAAAAAAACATATTTGCTTTTATTCGCTCCTGATATGATAAGTATTATACTCTCTTACTGTAGTATCAGGAGTGTATATAATATCACTCCTGATAGTATATGAATATGTGCAGAGCGAGTGTGTAGCGGGCGGACTTGATCCTGCAACCACTGCTTCGAGCAAGCGTGGTCACCAGCGGTTATGCTGGTATTGGTAAATTACACAAGGTATGCGAAAATATCCTCGGATCTCCAGCTACGACGGCAAATGCCGACCGCAATCTGCTCTAATTGGTCTAGTAGCACTACGACTACTGGCTATACATACTCACATGTTGTGCTCATGTGCTTCACAGTCCGTATGCAGTCAATAATCACCACATTCTGTGTTCGGCATTCGCAATTCCACGTTCATATAGAGTCGATAAGACGCAGCATTCAGTCACAGATGACTTCGCACTCTCTGAAGTCAGTCAGGCACCGCGATTCTTCTCGTTTTGCGGTTAGCGACGTCCTATACGCGCACACACGTCTACGCGGCCGAACTCTTACTTATCGTCTACCTAATCATATCTGAAGCGCATCTACAAACATCACCGTCTTTCGCCGGTACCACGGGCGCACTGCGCGGCTGGCTGGCTATACGTACGCTGCATGCAAGACAGCGATCGCGTCTCTCGCGATGGATCGTAACTCCGTAGCACGCCACCGCGTTCCGGCGTGCGGTCGAGCGAGCGTGTCGGTGTCGTGAGCGCGCGGGGCGGGGCGGGGTGATCGACTGACCACGCCAGACGTGAGAGGTGCGAGGAGCGAACCACGTACGTAGCCGTACACGGGAGATGCTTCTCCGTCGCTGACACACACGCGTTGTGAGCGCACGAGGCGGCTCGCACCCCTATTTAATGAGGAGCGGAGCCACGGCCGCGGCCGCGGATCGCCGGGATATACGCCAGAGAAGCGCCGTGCCGCCGTGCCGCTGCCGCCGCCGCCGCCGCCGCCGCCGCCGTGCTGATGTCGGAGATGAGAGACGAGAAAGATATAGAAGTGGGGAGAGAAAGAGAATATAGCGAGAGAAAAAGGAGACTGATAGAGGGAGAGAGAGCGCGCGAGAGAAGAGAGAGAGAGAGAGAGAGAGAGAAAAGAGAGAAGAGGGAGAGAGGAGAGAGAGCGAGACGAGAGCGAGCGAGAGAGAGAGACGAGACAGGGAGAGAGAGAGAGAGAGAGAGAGACGAGACAGGGGGAGAGCGAAAGAGGCGAGAGAGAGAGAAAGAGAAGAGCGAGAATGAGAGGCGAGAGAGAGAGAGAGGAGAGAAAGAAAAGAGAGAGAAAAAGAGAGAGATAGAGAGGGGCGCGCGGAAGAGTCGACAGAGAAAGAGAGAGAGAGAGAGAGAGACAGAGAGAAGAGAGAGAGAGATAGAGAGGCGAGAGAGAATAGAGAGGAGAAACGGAGA